GCCGCAGGGAGTGCGTGGACCGACATTGCAGAAGTCTCAGCGACACGTACTATGAGAAGGATATATGCAGAATCATGCAGAAGGTGCTTCCCGCCTGGGCTAGAGAGCCGTGGAGAAAATGTCGCAAAAGCTGTGGAAAATCCTCCTCATGAAAGTGATGATGCTGCTCGACCAGCACACGCTCCTTCAAGGAGGCAGCTTGTGAAGCATTGAACTTCGAGACATCTATATGCACAAGTTGGGCAGCACCTCCCGCAAAGACCCAACGCGCAAGGCAACCATCATGGTCGTGTCGTCGCGGCACTCCAAGACCAACAAGGAGGGATATACTGAGCAATCTTACGCAACACGACACGAAGACCACGAGATGTGCGCGGTGGGAAACCTCACGCTTTACCTGCACTTCGCGTACGACCTTGCCAAGGAAGCTTTCGGACAAACAGTTCTCCCCGCACTGGACTTGTGCGCGCCCACGAAATGGTACCACAAGCATTTGTTCTTCCCTGTACGTAGCAAGGAGCAAGGTCCGATCCCTGAGTCAACTCATTCGCGCTTCACAAAGGAGATGTGGAGCACAAACGGGGTAACCATGAGACGGGTCTTCCACGCAACTCGTGCGGGGGGAGCACAAGAGCTGGCACTGAAGGGTGTGTCGCAGGCCGAAACCGCCTCAATGGGGCACTGGTCCATCAACAAGATGAACAGGTGCTACCTCACGTCGATCCCGCGCATGGCTGTTTTGGTGAAAGCTGGTTTCACCGGCTCCAAAGGCGACTACTTCTTGGGCAGAGACTCTGTTCCCATGACGGATGCGGTGAAGGAGTTGGTCAAGAAACACATTTTCCCGTGGATTGAGGAGCAGGAAGCAGCGGTGAGTGGCTAACCCAAGTCGTGCGTAGGTTCCTGCATCTGCGCAGTTCATCTAGTTTGTTGAAATATCCTCCACGTACCCTACACAGGCATCCGTGTACAACAAGGTCAAGGGTCAGGAGGACAGCGCTAGACCTCACTTCCTGCGAACTGTGAGGAAGTTAGGCCGCAAAATCGTGGCTCAGGACCTAGCGATGATGCTGTACAAGACACCGTACCACCTGTACGTGCAAGCGTCATCGCTGTGCCGTAACAGCGAGTTCCGCAAATGGGTGCACGACGTGTTCCACACCCAGGAGAAGGCCTCGAACAAGAGGAGAAATCGCACCGAGACAACAAAGGCGGTACGTGATGGTCACCTCGTGTGAACGTTTCAAATTGTGCGATTGTACAGAACCATCCGCACGATCACACACTGTGACACTCAACGCCCTTCTTGTGTAGGAGTTTTCGGCCCGACATGACGCCGAGAATACTGTCATGTGTTTGCGGTCACAGCTGGATCACCAGCTTGTCAAAACGGTCGCGGAGGCCAACAGGGCATCTCGGACCATCCGCAAGCTGGAAGAAGACAACAAGGCGAAGGAGGACCTCCTCCTGCAAAAGGATGCTGTCATCGCGGAAAAGGAACTGAAATTGCACGCCTGCGTGCGTTACTTGAATAGCGTGCAGCAGGAACATGCCCGCCCTCAGATGTCACAGGCCAGTCCCCCCCGCCTGACCGAGGGGCCCCAAAGGTGGAACTTCAGCAGCCCGCTGACGCTGCGTACAAGAAGGATGTCGTGACACCATGGAGGAAGTGTCAATCCGTGGAGCATGCATGGGTGCTGTGGAACCTCCAAGGACGCGGCGACAAAAGACGCCTTCGAGACCGCTATGGGAAAGACACCTGCTTCGTCAAACGCCACTCCTACAACGGTGGCTCCAAAAGCGTGGCCGGGATTACTATACAAATGCGGCGCTCAAAGAGGGTGATGAACGCGGTGGAGGCCCTTGGGGAAACCACGCAGGTCAGGTAGAAGCTGGAGTCCATTCTCGGGCGAACCGGGGTTGGAGTACGTTCACAGATGGCATCGACGTGGTCAAGATGGAAGGGAAGGTCGAGCCAGATGGGGATGATGGACTGGAGGCATTCTCGCCAACGCTTCATGACCAGCTGAAGGTTGCGCGGATGCTCATTGAGACGGATCTGCGGGCGGAGGACTGGCTCAAGGAAAAGTTCCCCACAACGTGGGACAAGTTCCCTACCAGAAGGCAAAGGCGCCTGCGAAGAAGCGCCAAAAGGTTGCTAACACGTGATGGTTGTTTACATTGTGCGCATGTTTGGAAACTTCTTATACATAGACCTTGTACATAAACAATGTGATGCATGACTACGAACACTGGTTTGTACGTAAGGAACACCTTTCACGAAGCACACCCAAAGGAACCAATGTTTTCACACAAAGAAAGGTACACGCAATCACATACACGGTCTACTGCACACGAAGACTACTGCAAACGATCATTCCTCGGCACGATCAATCCTAGGCACATCATCATCAGACGCAAGAGCTGGCATGGAATCATGAGTAGAGACCTCCAAAGTGGCCACACCGTCGCCTTGAGAATGGTCAACCACCGGCATGGCATCCTCCGAAGTGGCCGCACCGTTACCCTCCTAACCGGGAGGACCATTGACTGGGATCGCATAGCAAACGTTATATGCCTCCTGGGAAAGGAGTCCTTGGGCGAAGTGTGCCATGGACGCTTGAATGGCACTTAAACCATCCGCATCCCTTGATGGATACGTTTCCCCGCGGCGGCGTCGCTCAACGAAGCCTTCCATATCCATCAGCAGATCTTGCAGGAGATGAACGCACCAAACCCCAGAAACAGGGCTCCACAACGGCGGCTCCTCCTCATGGAAAACATCACCACATACACGCATGTATCGCATACGGTCTTCTAGCACGTCGTGCGATGGGCGCGCGTTCGGCGCGAGAAGCAGCTCAAGACGTGCCGTGTTAAGAAACCATCTGCAACAAATGCAAGCATCAATAACAAGGTTAATTGAAGCACTTCCGGAAGGACAATTCCTCATATGCAAGCTCACGGTAGTATCCACCCCCACAACAGGCCCACCACAGCGCCATGATGCATCGTGCGCATGTGCTTGGGGTCCAAGAGGAAGCTGTGGATGCGCGTTTCCTCTTCTTCCGGCTTCAAGTGATCACGCGGACGCGTAACGACAAAAATCACGCACAAAGAGGGCTCACCCTCGTGACGCCATCTGCAGGCAAAAACGGAAACCTTGAAATGGGTATGTATAACTTCGGACAACATCCGCAAGTGTTCTAATACGAAACAGGCCACTTACACGTTCCACACGGGGACGACAACTGCGTCGAAATTGAGAACGTGCACAGCAGGGCCTAAACCGTCTGGACCGATTTCCGCAGCCTCGGCTTACGCCAAAACGCGCACGTTAAGAACGTGATTACTCTCGCACGCCCATCTACATAAGGCAAGCGTCATTGTCACACACGACATTGTGATTACGTCTATATTGTGCAAACGATCCGTACGTACATCAGGCCTATCTCAAGGGAAACCTCGCTGAGCTCCTCCGTAGGATCCATCATCCGCGTAACTTCGTCAGCCGTGAGGAGGTGCTGACTGCCAGTATGGGTCTCCACTATCACACGCCGAGAAGCCATCACCAGGTGAGCAAAATAGAGTCGTTGCAGAAGTCCGATGTGAAAAATGAAAAACAACGAGTGATTTGCTGGGCCTATTTATACCCATACGGCTACCAGAGGCGGTAAGGCGGGCAGCCATAATTTTGAGGTGCCACGTGTAACGAGAACAAGAACATGCATTTTCCATCGTAGTCATTAGACGCGCGAAACAAAGAAAAAAAGGTAAGTGCTTCAAAGTCATAAGTTACTACGGAATTATATCCAGGGTAATTTCTAAAAACAACGAGTGCCCCCTACTGCCAACCCAAAGAACATGCGCATGACAAATACAAAGATGTGTCTACATCCGCAGACGTAGACAAACCGTCCCAAAACCTATGGCAAGCCTCAACGCTTTCCCGAACCTGATCTAGGGCAAGTACTACAAATAACCCCTGCCCCAAACGTTCGCAACCCCCTAGTGCACCTTCCCCCCTTAGCGTGTGGTCACGATCCGTGCTGCTGGGGCACGCGACCACCTCCCTGCTGCTGGCCCACGCGATCATCTCCCTGCTGATGGCCCATGCAACCACCTCCCTGCTGCTGTCCCATGCGACCACCTCCCTGCTGCTGGCCCACGCGACCACCTCCCTGCTGCTGGCCTACGCGACCACCCGTGCACGAGCTCGCCTCGGCGGAGATCCGGGAATCTCCCACTTGTTGAACTTGTAGGTGCGCTTCATCCTATACACGGTGAGCTTCGTCATGACCTCCGAAAGTGGAACCACCATGCCGGCTGCCTACATGGAATCACGTCCGTCCGGGTTGTAAGCCCAGTAGGCCAAGGTGTGCAGAAGTTCAGCCGCGATGAACTTCCCCCACGGATCCCGCGACATTTTCGGCGTCGTCAGAGCCTGCATTGTGACCGGATTGACGAAGGTTGTCCCATTTGCAAGCGCACCTTCCGCTTCGCCCGCGAGCTTCATAGCATGCATGACCGCCTCCATGACCTTCTTTAACTCGTCCTCGATGTTCGGGAAGACATTGGCTCAGTCAAGCTTCTTCCACACAGCCACAACCCACTGGCACGCTTGCGCAAACTATGGAGCCCTGTGTGAGACCAAGTACCAAGCGGCTGCGACCGTGGACGCGATGGTGACCCCATACGCGACAGCAGCCTTCATGTCACGCGCCTCCGCGTTGGCCGCAATGGCACCGACGGCCAGACTCATAGCGGCCTGGAAGTCCAAACCACCGCTCTGATACACGGTGACGTGCGTGAAAAACTTTGTCAGCCTAAGAGGCGTAGGTAAACAGGTCAGAGAGGGTGTACAAGCATATGATATGAACATCCGCAGCAGTAAAAAATCCAAAAGCATCCGCAAGGAATCTTCACCTGTCTTTGTCGCCGCAGATGGAACGAGACCACATGCATGTCCAAAGGCCTTTTGGAAGTCTCTTAGCCAATGCCTATTCCTCGGGCCACGATGGGGGAGTTCCAGGGGTGTCACCCTCCTTGTAGGCGTCCCACAGCACCTTCGACACATATCCGTCCCACACGATCATGGCCACGGGCACTGTAAACTCCACGTCCTCCCGTTTCAACGAGTGGCCCAGGTAGCGAGAGCGGCCTCCACCCACAATGTCGCCGGTCCATCCAGGCGAGTTTCTGTCTTTGCGGACGCCAGGGCCCTTGCGACTCCTGCCCCCTTCAACCTCCGCCAAAGCACCACCAGCCGTGCCGTCAGTCTCATCTCCTTCCGCGGCACCAAGTACCTGGAGGCCTTCCGTATCCTCCTCCTCGTTCTCCTCGTTCTCCACGTACTCCTCCCCTTCAACATCCGTATTGCCAGGACCTGCCTGCCACTCCTCTGCGTACGTATTAGCCTCACCAAGCTGAATGTCGAATAGGTCCGGAGGGAAGCTGAGATGACCCTTGGGCGGAATATGCCCGCTTGCAGGTGCGTCGTCGCCCGCAGCAGGTGTGGAGGCTACGGGGCGCTGAGGATGCGCATGCGCATGGTGATCGCCCACGGGCTGGAGCTCATGCAATCCTGCCCGGATTGCCTCAAGTCCCTGGTCATCCACCGGGTGATGTTGCTGACCTGTTTCCATGGCGGCTCGCATCCCTGCCAGGAAATCGTGCACGTCTCCTTGCGGACCCCCCGGCACCTCATGGGCCCGCGGCGCCGCCCCTTGAACAGCGCCTTCCACACCAGTCTGCTCCACACCTCCACGGCCAGCGAGAGTCCTCGTCGGGAGGCCCAACACAATGCCACCTCCACTTGGTGGTTGCGCACTATGCACCCTGCAACCCCGACCGCAACTAAACCTTGCGACGGCAAGGACGCCCCAATGTTGGCCCGACCGTCTGCACGCCCCACCGGTGTGCCCAAGGTGAGGTCTATGTGCAGAGGCGCAACATCACCCTCCGCACGAGATGTCTGCTTCGATGGGACGTCCCCCACACCCTGCTCCAGCCCGCCAGCAGCCTTCGATCGTTTCAGCCGCGCGACTTTGCTGTGGACAATATCTCCTACCATCCCGCCATGCGTATCACTCCCATCATCCCCACGAGGATGCTTTCCTCCGGCACCCCCTCCTCCACCTTGGCATGCCAAAGCTGTTGCGGCACCAAAAACGCTCGGAAGAGCTGCGAATCCAGCTTCGTTAAAGGCCTGCCTCGTCGTGCCCCGAACCATAGAGACGATGTCCGCCTTCAAACCCTTGGTTGACTCAGCCACAGCCTCGCGGACACATTTGTCGACCAGCGCGACAATGAAGGCTTTAATCTCCTCCAGCTTCTTGTTGACCACCCCCTTGACGGCTTCGACGAGAACGTCCTGCATGGTTTTCGCTGCATCCGAGACAGCACTCGTCACAGCAGCCTTCACAACCTTGTCGACCTGCAGCCCAAGTCCCGCAATGGTACCTTCCGCGGCCGTCTTGACATGGTTTCCGACACCAGCAAGCGACGTTTCTGCAGACTTCACCGTCGCCTGTGTCTTCGCCGCTGCCTTGGCGTGATCACCCACCAGCTGCTCGATGCCCTTGGCAAGGGTCTCTTGTATCGCTTGGGAACGATCTAGCATGGCCGCTGCGTATGTAGGAATCTCCGCCGCCTTATCAAGTACCTGTTTTGTGTTCTCGACATACTTGGTACCCTTCTCCTTTTCCTCCGCAAGCTTAGCATCCTTACTCCGCAGCTCCCCCCACAGACGCTCCTTCTTGCTCCTCTCCTCATCCAGCTTATCCTTCAACTTCCGCTTCTCCTTCTTCCACTCTTCCCCCTCAAACACCTCGTTTTGCTTCCCCCTGCTCCCCTCGGACGCCTCCTTTGGCTTCCCATTGCTCCCCTTAGCCACCTCCCTCGGCTTCCCCTTGCCACCCTTGGGATTGCCCCGTTCCACACCTTGTGCAACGTCACCTCTCCCGCGGCCAATGTGTTAACCGACGACCCGCCATCATGACACTTATCAGCGTGCCCGAAAATACCCCCAGCATCCTGACCACCCTCCACAGAAGCTTCTGTCCGTTGCTGCAAAAGGGCGCCCTCGAAATTCTGCTCGAGCGCGATACCCTCAATGTACTGCGCAATCTGTTGACGGAACAACTTCTGCTCCTTGCGCCCCATGGACTTGAATTGGTACGACGCTGGGTTGCGCAATGGCGGCTTCCATGTGGGCAAGGAACGTTTTATACACCTCCGCCACGCGTAGGCCAGTATTCTTAGCGGTGTCTCTCAGATTACCGCAATCCTGCGCAGCCCATGCATGCGGAAGATATACGTTCGTGAGCGATCGTGCAAAGAATAGGCTTGAAGAAACAATAGTGTATGCGACATCTCACACTCACCTGTTGAACCACGTACTTCCACCTCTTCAAACGTTCGTCGATGTTGGACTCTTTTGGCAGTTCGAAGCCGGTCCCGCCGAAGCTCGATAGAGCTTGCGCACGAGCTGTGCTCATGATCCACCTGCGTATGACAATTACAAACGAGGGTGTCAATGCGTTGCATATGGTTCATGAAATTTATCAGAGCACGACTTAATACTCACTCGTGCACGGTGTTGAAAGCGACATCTTGAAAGCGATGTCTGGCTTTCGGAGCCACATGGAAAACCACTGTGCGGTTCTCGCTCGCGAGCTCTTGAAGATCAGTAGCGTGTGCCACAAGGAGAAGGCTGCAGTGGCTGCCCGGGGAGTTCCTCCGTGCTATGGCAGGGCAAAAAACCATTAAGGGGAACGATGTCGGCCGTTCTCCTTGCGCAACAGGTAAGAAACCATATGCAAACATGAAAAAAACACAGCTACTGAGAACGAAATCAACTCACGTTGTTACGATGGGCACGGCGATGACAACTGTCAAACTCATATGCTATAGTCTGTGTAGGCTATAGTGGGGTAGACAATATTGGGTGCAACACTTTTAGGTTTTCCTACTTGTACCCACCTGCTTGCTAGTTCATTCATTCCTCATTTCTTCACATGGTATCAGAGCAGGTTCCCTAGTGGGATCTTTTTGTCAGAATGAGAAACGAGAATGGGGAGTGACTAGCAGGAACAACAGTACAAATATGTCAAACCCTAATCTAGTGTACCCCTTATGGTGTGACCCACTACAGCCTAGAACCACACAAACATATAAATGTTTGACACACCCCCATAGGCAAAGTGGGGGAGACCTAGGGGTCACAAGACCATTCAAGGCAAAACAAGGCAAACAAGCTCAGGGTGGATCTCGAGGATTCCACACAAATTCCGAGCACAAGCAAGCGGTCACAAGACCAGTTCACATGCAGTTTTATAATACAGCAAGAGGTACAATGATCACAACCTAACAAGGCAAACATGCAGGTATATATATAATGATCACAGTACAGGTAAAGTCAAGAAGTAAGTAAGTGAGAAACAGTCGGCACAAGGCCTAGAAGAGTGCAAAAACGCTGATGGTCAACAGGCGGAAGCGCCTTGGTGAACACATCAGCAGTGTTGGCCTCAGTGGCCACGTAACGCAGAAGAAGCTGACCACGCTGCTGTAGCTCTCGAGCTAGAAAGTAACGCAGAGCAATGTGCTTCGTCCTGTGCTCCAGTCTGTGCTCCTGGCACAAGGCAATGGTTGCCTTGTTGTCGACGTACAGCACTGGAGGAGAACGAGGCTGCTCTCCAAGGTCAGTCAGCAGGTAGGTGAGCCAGCGAAGCTCCTGGGCAGCCATGGCCGTGGCGTAGATCTCAGCCTCACAGCTGGAGCTGAGAACAGAAGAAGAACGAGTAGAACGCCAAGAGACAGAGCCAGAGCCAAGACTGAAGGTGTAACCCTGAGACGACCGCTGAGTAGCCTGGTCGTCTGCCCAAGAAGCGTCTGAGTGCCCAGTGAGAACAGGCCGGTCTCGCCCTCCAAGCACTAGCCCCATGCCCGACGTACTGCACAAGTAGCGCAACACCCTCTTAGCTGCATCCATGTGCTCCTTCCGGTGACGGCCGGGAGCAACATAGCGTGCTAAGATGCTGAGAGGGTATGCTAGGTCAGGTCGAGTGCAGGTCATCAGGTACATGAGGCAGCCCACAAGCTCTGGATACGGACCACTCGACTCTACGGACTCATCCGAAGGCAGAGCTGAGAGCGAGTGACCCGTAGACAGAGGAGTGGACTGAGGCGAGGAGTACGTGAAGCCGAAGCGCTGAAGGACCTGCTGCACCATGTGTGACTGAGTCAGGGTAATGGTGCGGCGTGCTCTGTCCCGGGTGATCCGCAAGCCAAGATAGCTTGTCAGTTCACCCAGGTCTGTGCACGTGTGTCTCTTCTGCAGCTCGGACTTCACGTGGGCGAGTGCGGCAGTGTCCGCAGTGGCAAAGACCAAGTCGTCGACGTACACGAGGATGTAGAACGGCGGCAGCGAGGTGTCGGTGCGCAGAAACAGCGACGGGTCAGCAGTAGAAGGAGCAAACCCAAGAGCCGCAAGTGTAGTCCTCAGTGTGTCGTGCCACTCACGCGGCGCCTGGCGGAGACCGTAGACTGGCCGCCGGAGGCTCCACTGGGTGCCAGGAGGGAACGACCCAGTGAAGCCAGGTGGGCGGCGCAGCCAGATCTCCTCGTGCAGGCTGCCCTGCAAGAAAGCTGTGCTGAAGTCAAGAGAGTGGAGCTCGTAGTCACGCTGAGCGGCGACGTGTAGCAGAACCCGAAGAGTGGTCATCTTCGGGGTCGGGGAGAAGGTCTGGAAGAAGTCAACTCCCTCTCGCTGACTGAAGCCTCGTGCAACGTAACGCGCCTTGAAGACAGGCGGAGAGCCTGGCGGCCGCTTCACCCTGAAAATCCACATGCCACTGACGATGTTCGCCCCAGGTGGGGGAACGTCGTCGACGTAGGTGCCTGTGGACTTCCAGGAAGCCATCTCTGTGTCCATGGCTGACTGCCACTGAGAGGAGTAGGGACCGGCCATCGCCTCTGCGTAAGAGCGTGGGGTCGGGATGTCTGGTGCATCCGGGTCTCCCTCAGGGGCAACAAGCATGGACACGAGATGGGGTAAAGCAGCGGCAAGGCAACCAAACTCCTCCTGCCTGTCCTCAAGGACGTCCGTGCCAAGAGCACACTCACCCCCGACGGACGGAGGACAGGCAGACTCAGACTCAGCAACAAGACTCGCTGCGTAGTCTAGACGACACGCAGCTGCAAAGTCGACAAGCTCAGTGACTAGGGCAGACGCAGCAGCGGACTCAAAGGAAGGGTCAGTGACAACCGTAGCCAGGAGACGTGTGACAGTAGGACTGGCAGCGCGAAGGGAGTCTGACTCGGGGTCAGCAAGAGCAGGAAGAGAGGACGCAGGAGGCGATGGGAGAGCAACACGCTGCGGAGCAGTGGACTGACGAAGCGCCATCCGGTGCGTGCCTGGGACAGCAGGAGGACGCTCACGCGGGACACGACTACCAGTGGTAGCAGCTCGAACAGGCGACGCTCGACGAGACGCAGGTGACACAGGACGTGACGCAGGCTCACGTCTCTCAGCAAGACCGTCAGTCGGACCAGTGTAAGGAGCAGGCACAGGGAGTGGTGAGGCAGGCGGTAACTGTGGCTGTGACTGGACAGACGGCGGACACTCTAAGGCGAGAGGAGAACAAGGAGGAGGAGGCTGACCAAGAACCTGCTGAAGGAGCGGAACGAAGTACGGTCGTGGCCGTGCAGCAGCTCTCGAACCAGCAGAGACACCAGCGGCAGCAGCAGCACCTCCAGAAGCAGCAGCACCTCCAGCACCAGGGTCTGCAGTACCTCCAGCAGCACCTCCAGCAGCACCGCCAGCAGCAGCAGTACCTCCAGCAGCACCGCCAGTAGCAGCTGCACCTCCAGCACCAGGGTCCGTAGCACCCACAGCAGCTCCAACGCCCGGGTCCTCAGTACTAGCAGCACCTCCAGCAGCACCGCCAGCAGCAGCAGCACCTCCAGCAGCACCGCCAGCAGCAGCAGCACCTCCAGCACCAGGGTCCGTAGTACTCGCAGCAGCGTCAACTCCGGGGACCCCAGCACCAGCAGCTCCACTACGGAGACTGATGTGCCGAGCGTACCACTCTCGAAGCTGAGGGGAAGAGGGCGGCTCCCGCCGTGGTGGGGAAGCACGAGTACCAACTCCAGCAGTACCACGAGCCCGAGACTCACCCCGCCGGAGGCTGCAGTACCGTGAGTACCACTCACGCAGCTGCTGCGAAGAGGGAGGTCCTCCAGGCGCCTCACAGTCAACTGCAACACCACCAGGCTCAGCACCCCCAGGCTCAGCAACTCCAGGCGCAGTACCCCTAGACTCAGCAACGCCAGGCTCAGTACCCCCAAACCCAGCACCCCCACGCTCAGCACCCCCAGGATTAGCACCCCCAGACTCAGCACCCCCAGACTCAGCACCCCCAGGCTCCGCCCGCTCAGGCTCCGCACGCTCAGGCTCAGCACCTCCAGCAGGACGCGAGTCGACAGCTACCTCGGTAGGCTCAACCGGGTCTACCTGAGAGACACCTGAGGGAGCGGCACCCTGAGGGGGAAGGGGGTCTACCACTGCAGCACCTGGCGCGAGGAAGAGAGGCGGGGGAGGGAGCGGGGCAGTGCGGTAGG